AGAGAATTGTAAAATACGAGTTGTGCTAACTTCGTGTCACCTGACTGAAGAATTAAAAGGAGTCGATTGAACAAGTATTCGTCTGTTTGTTGTGAGAACCAGCTAGTACCCCCAGAAAGGTTCCTCAACAAAGTGGTGGAGAGATCCGCTTTGTTCCCGTACCCGTTATGTCTGGTCGTCGTCGTGGTCGTGGTACTCCGCAAAGGCCAAACGGACCTCTTCGTCGACCTAACAGCCTGCCATTAGTCCTGATTATCCACAGGCTTAAAGAGCATCTGTACGAAGCAGGAGCGCCGCGGGTACCACAAGTGAGCCTACCATTTTAACTCCCACAAGAGAAGAAACAGAGCGTTCAAGCCGCACCTTGTTAGGGCGTTGACCCGAAGAAGATCTTGCACTTTCTAAACCTCTTTACAGACCATTCAAGTAGAAGCAGGCGCTTGTGCGTCGAAGACACACACAAAAGGGAACGGACGACCGAAGAAAGGAGTACTAAAAGACCCAAGCCAGGAAATTGTAAGAGAACATTATGATTCAATGGACCCTCCGAAAACAAAAAGGATTCGGGCCCAAAGGAACATTTGGGCTCGAAACATGATACGGTTGGATTGGCCCCCGACAGTGAGGACAGGAGTCTCCCAGCGCCTGATTGGCAAAACGCAAACACTCAAGTAGGCACTCCCCGTGTATGAACTTGCGACAACACAAGAGAGGCCGGCTTGGGTGTTCGTTAGGGGAATCCAGACAGACGAAACACTTAGTCTCGAGAAAAGATGTTAAGCGCGCCTTTGCACGGTCTGGGCGGTGCTTTCTTCTTACTTTAGGCATTAGGGCAACTATGGAGGAAAAAAAAATTACGGATGTGTGTTAGTTTGACTTGGAGCCACGAGCAGTATTACTTCACCGCGTCAAGTGAAAAACCGAACTAACAAAGGAATAAGGGGTTCACTCAACAGAATTAGTATGGTCTATGTAGCCACGAGCAGTATAACTTCACCGCGTCAAGTGAATAGGCCAACTAACTATGCTATGAGCAGCGAACTTCACCGCTTCGAATAGTTGTTGAGTGAAAGAAAAATATAGTAGCCCAAAATGCAAAATTAAGCGAAATAGGTGTGCACGAATTCATGCCCAAAAACGGCATAGCTTGTAGAATTGAGTGTTTGTACTAAATCCGTTGTAAACCGAGAACGAACGCGTAAATGCCGAGGAATATACAGCTGGATTAGATCGAAAATAACATGATGAGGAATTAACTAATAATCACATAAGAGAATTACTGATAGAAATAAGTCAGGTGCAAATGTTGCCTGAGGTGTACGCTCCAGAAAATCGAATAAGAAATTCACTTCTGCGGGTGAATAATCAGAAGGCAAACAAAACTGTTGTACGGAATGCTCAGACCCGCAGTGACTGCAAGATGAGGTTGTAAAATTAGTGTCATGCCTATTCAGAAACGCTTCATAAAACGGACTGCAAAAGGAAAGTAAGGAGGGTGAAACTAATCGTGAAAAATCATAGGCTGGAACTCGAACTATATGGGTTTTGTGTGAAGACTCAGCTAATTGTTATATCGGACGAGATTGATGAAAAACCATGCTGAGAGATGATAGGCGATCTAGAACAAAGGAAAACGCAGTATAAATAATTGGAAACATTAACAAAGACTGAAATTTGCATTGAAATTGCGGATTGTCAAAAGTACCAGAGTGATTCCCAAATAGGAAACAAATGCTGAATTGCGTATGTTATAGATAGTGTGAAACGAATTAAACTGAAACAGGCTTATTACAGGTGGAACAAGTGGCATTTTCTTGACTAGGTTCAGTGTTAGTAGTCGATGGAGAGGCTTCAAGCTCGATGTCGTTTTCACTGACAGGCGATGTGTCTGAGGCGGCGTTTGTACTACTTTTAGAAGACTGTTTGCGCCTTAACAGAACAGTACTAAACAACGGTTGATTTGGCGGGCGTTTCATGCGACAATACAAGACAATGATGACAAGTGTTCAGCAAAGTGAGTGAGACAGCAATATAGGTAAGCCGATCATTAAGTGTGGTGGAACGAACAGAATGTAAATGGGAAAGGTCTTGTTTTATTGTGGCGATTTGAGAAGTGAATTGTCCGTCAAGCAGACGAAATGTGTGGTCAAGTGATTGGAGTGTTTGATTATCGAATTGAAGTGGAGGTGTAAAATTAAGCGATTGGTAATGTAATTTGAAAAGGTCATCGTCGTTATTTTGCCACGGAATGTAACGAAATGAATTAGAACTGAATAACGGTAAATGAAGAGTTATACTATGAGGGCAGGTACCTAAACCGGTTTGTTGAGTAGTGAAAGTTAATTCGCAAGGAAAATGGTAGACCGTTAACGGTGTAAGTGAAATTAAATGAGAGGAACCGTCAGTGGTGTTGAAAACGGGTAGTAACCCTTGTTGAGTGGACAAATAATATCGGCCTCCTAAATGGTATAAATTGTGAAGGTCTGAACAGTCCGGCGCTTGTTGGTGTCGCCGAACCAAATTCAGTTTTGCGTTTTTATTCCAAGGTAGGCCTAACCATCGAGTATCGTTGACTGTCTTCAAAATGTGTTGGGGACAATCAAAAGTATCGTCTGTGTGATAACATTTGTCTAATAGTGTACGTTTTAAAATAAATTCAGCGTGTGGACAATGTAACAAGGCTAATTCATCGCGAGTAATTGGACCCTGAAAACATGTGCCAGAAATAAAAACGCGTGTTCAGGAGTCAGTTCAGGAATAGGGAAAAGAATATTGATTGCCATAGATTTTGCCATGTTGTATTGATAATCGACAAACGATTGCAACAAAATTGGGTAACCAGCCTCCAATGCACAGAGTGTATGTTGTAGTGAGGGCAGTGAATGAAGTTGGTGTTGTATGCTTGTGGTCAAAAACGAAGGAAGATCGGCAAAACTGACAAGTTGCTTGTTATGAAGCTTGTGTGCTTGATGCAGGATATCATTTATTTCGGTGAAACGGAGTTGTGTTGAGAAGGTTCTAGCTATTTCTAAGGAAAATTTTGACAGAAATTCCATATAGTTATTGTGGTGACAGTTTTCGTGGGTGGCAAAGGCTTGTATTTATGCTTCCATTCTAGGAATGTAGAATCTGTAATGTTATTGAGAGGCCAAACAGGCTAGAACACAACAGCTTTAATCGAGCTAGTACAAGTACAAGGAGCACATGGTAAAACAGCCCGCCCGCTAAGACTAATGGGACATCTAAAGCGATTACATCACAGAATCAAGCGTTTGAAGGGACTATTGCAGGTTATTAACCTTGGTAACCAATTTGTCTGTTATTTTTGCGAGGTAAACGGTTTTGCCGTTAACAGTTTTGACCATCTGTTCCAATGATTTTTGGCCTCCCAGAAATTTTATAAAAATTTGCGTTAACCCGAAAACATCAACTCCAGGGTCACAGAATCCTCCTAAAACTTTGGTATAGAACAATTTTGGCAAACCTAATAATCCTGCTCCACAAGCCCAGGGAAGATCCCGTTTTTGGCGAGAACTACGCTGAGAATTTTGTAACCACTGACGTTCATGAGGAGATATACCAGTACATGTTTTTAAGGCCCATAGTTTACATTCGTGAAGTGATTTTTTATAGAAGTAGGGGCACGACATAGTAGAGGTCATTCCTGTAGAATACTGGTAACATCGCCTGATATAAGAATCACACTCAATTAAGGAAGTATAACCAATGAAAACATTATTCGCTGCATGGATTTCTGTACTGTTCGCAATTGCTCTAACAGCTGCCCTAGAAAATGAGACTTATCGCTATCGCAAGTGTTGTCAATGGTAAAATCATGGCCAATTTCGGGCGTGCGCAGATCAACAAACAGGTTAAGTAATTTGGTATCCTGATAAAAAACGATAGCCTTTGGAGTACGAGAAAGCATCAGTGATTCAGGATAATAAGTGACTCGTTGACCGTTAAGATCATAATCAAAAGTTGAACTTTCCTGTGTATGAACTAGCTGAGTTGGTAGTAATAATAAAACGACAAGGAACAAAGTAAATCTAAGTGAAGAGTTACGTTAGCCACTTGTGACAATTGTTACAATATATGTTTGTAGTGGAGTTGTTATAAGCGTTCTTGTTGATTGGTTTGAGTAAGCTACTTCACTACTAGTAGGATTGGTTTTCTAAGTTAATTGATGATCGATAGAAAGTTTCTCCTGACATGAATTCGGTACAAAGGAGATGTACCAATTTGGTGCATCTCCGCGGTAACACTTCTGTTTACGAGATATGTTTAATTAAAGCCTTTGGCAGGTGACAAAGCCTTGCTTATATTAAGTATTTTGTCTAGTTTGACATTTTTGACCTTAATCTGGTCTCCCTTCGATAATTTCCAGGAACTACTACCCTGCTTGTTTCTTAAGAGTTTTAAGCGTGTTTCCTCGAGTTTTTAACTGAATTCTTGGCAGTGGATAACTTTAATTACGCTTAGTGGTTTTATAGTTGTTTTTGTAATCAAACAACTTTTGTTTTAAATTCTGCTTTGTACTTTGAACTGCATTTTTAATTTATCCTTTAAGTTTGCGATAATGTTCGTGGTTAAATTATGGAAAAGTTGTAGCCAATCATCTTCGATGAAGAAGCTTAACACCTTCTGTAAATTGACAACAACCTTGGATTTTCAAACTGTAATTTTAGTACTTTCCTATCTGTTAGTATGAAAAGTCTGTTTACTGGTATATACCTTGTAGTTTTTATATTGTTCTCCTAGTTTTATATTGGCCAGTTGACTTAAGCTTAGCAGTGAAAACTTCGGTTGAAGAGTCATTTCGACAAAGCAATTACCTCGAAGGTTTCATGCTAATGAAACTGTTTCAGCCAATCGGATTAGACTTACGTCAGCATTCGGCTTACGCCAAGCAGCTGGTTTCCTGGCTGATATAAAAATGCGTGTAACACTGATCTAGTAGAGAATTGTAAAATACGAGTTGTGCTAACTTCGTGTCACCTGACTGAAGAATTAAAAGGAGTCGATTGAACAAGTATTCGTCTGTTTGTTGTGAGAACCAGCTAGTACCCCCAGAAAGGTTCCTCAACAATATTAGGATTGAAGAAAATGTCGAGTATCGTACCTACAGGGAGAGTTTATGGTTTTAAAGGATTTTGATTTGAAGAGCCGTTTTGAAACAGAAAGGAATAGAGGGTATTTGAAGAATACGTGCTACATTACTGTTAATATTCATTGTAAAAGAAAACGGTTTTCATTCGTCATTTTTTATACATAGTTTTGAAATATCTAGGAAAAGTCATTGTTAAGCTGTTACTGTTTTTAGATTGATCGTGATGCCACATACAATAGCACAGTAGTAAAAGACTACGCCGTTTTGTTGAATTTACTTAATTAAAATAAAACTACACTTGCTTGTATGTAGATACTCTCACGGCTCAATGATCATTAAAGAGCATTGGTAATAATTTAGCTTTCAAGTGAAAGTTGATGGTGGGGTTAATTTGTTCTGCGTACCATGTAAGAATGTGACTTTCTTGTACAACCTTTTTATTCCCTGAGATAACAGAAACCGTAATCAAAGAAATATTCCAAAGATGGTTTTAAAAACAGTAGAAAATACATTCCACCCTGTAAAAGTACAGCTTGGAGGTTTCATTAGAGTGGCCCCGAAAAAGTTGAAGAAGAAAAAACTCCTGTTAATTTCTATCCAACGGTTTACCAGCTATGATTACGACAGGAATTAGCTTGTCAAGAACCAGGGCCGGGTTGTTCAAAGCAGGGTTAAGATAACTCGGGGTTAGCGCGAAATTTGAAATGTCTGTAGACTGCGAGCAGTCTCTTATTTTTTTTGCAAAGTTACTACACGCAAAACCTAAGCACGCGAGCGGCGAAGCCGCTTGCCGTGAGAAACGAGGGCGTTGCAATCGCGGTGGATGAGATCAAGAACTAGACGGATTTTAAGACAAAAGGCGGACTGCAAGCAGTCTAAAATGTGCGAAATTCAGATATGAAAGCTTAAAAGCAAATTCAGTATTGTTCTTTTTGCCCACAATTTGATGATTGGATGCTCTAAAAAAAATAGAGAAAATTATCCGGGAAAATGCTTTTAAGCAAAAGAAAAAGAAACCCAGGTTAAAATTTAACCCTGGGTTAGCGCTAATCGGCCTTCAAACATCTAGGCCTAGAAGTCTACCAAAAAATGAGTTAAAAACTAAAAACATACAATGGAGTCTCCATTCACAGGACACATACCAGACAAGAGTAGGTGTCCCCTGAATGGAGGTGTACTTTCTACTGAGAGGCACGACTGATACAAAAATTATACAGTGGCATCTTCATCCAGGGGACACCTTCAGGATCAGGACAGGTATCCCCCGAGTTTGAGAGGTGTCCCTTTAATAGAAGTAACTGATACTAAGTTCAAACAGTGGAGTTTTTACCCAGGGTACTTCGATGGGAGCAGGAAAGGAGTCTCTTGAGTGAGAGTGTCACTTCAATAGAGGTACACTGTAATAAAATTGATATAAAGATTATACAACAGGGTGTCCATTGAAGGCACACCCTAGGGACCAGGACAGGTGTCCCCTGAAAAGACTTGTCCCTTCAAATGAGCTATCAGATGCAAATATTATAAGAACTTTTTCTGTAGCAAAACTTGTGGGTGCCTTGAAAGGAGGCAGCCCCTAAAGAGAGCTGCCTGAAGGAGAGTTTTCACTATATTAAGCAAAAACTCCTTATTTCCTCCAAACTCACCGTGTACAGCTGTATGCTAAACCCAAGTTATTTATGAAAGAGCTCATAAAGGATAATTACTGTGCAAGCTGCGGATGTTAAACATTGCCTTTTTATGTAGCTTGAAATTATTACTATGTATAAATTTTGCACTTCTGACGTAAACATTATGTGCAATATCATCATACATGTAACACATAATATTAATGTCAGAAAAGCAAACCTTCCCTGTCCATAAAAAGCCAACCCAAATGATATTGTACAATTCAGTGCAGTCTGTAAAATCCCCTTAGACCTTGATTTGAACAGAGAATAAAATTCAACTTGTACAATGTAGAAGCAGGACGGATTCTACTCTTTTCAAGGTCTTTCAAGACGTCCTTAAATCAAGATTTTGGGGTATAGAGTACAGATAAGTCATTTCACAAATCACACTGGTCCTATTGACTACAACTTCTTCTTTCTTTTTTTCTTTCTCATTTGAATTTAGTAACATCACAAATTACACAGGAATTAAAATGAGAACATTATTTTACCACAGCTGTACTGAAGCAATTTAAGAGAACTGAAGGAAAGCAATCCAACGTTTAGTTTCCATGCTTTACTCTGTGTTTCCACCGCTTCACTAAATTACAGAAATCTTTCATCATTAGCTTGTACTAAGGGTAAAGAATTAAAATTCACATACGTGTAGTTTTATTGCTACAAAGAAATCGAGGATAATGGAAAAAACTTATTCCTGGCTTATAGGAATCTTCTGTGAGGCCAAAATTCCTGTGAATTCGGTTAGGGTGCTCATACAAGATTTTTGGTTGAAATTGTTCTAGATTTTATTTCTCCCGTATTATGAGTCCCAAAATAGAAAATATAACGCACAGGCTTAGATTTTCTCATGTTACACGAGTTTCAGCATTCAACATTTCACACAATCCCATTACATGTAGTTTAAAATTAAGCATCCATACCAATATGGACCGTGTATCCTGGTGGGCTTATAAACAAAATCCTTGTAAAAGGCTATGTTACATATTCTTGCCTTCTTATATAGTCAGTCTGGTTATATATTATAACAGCTAGAACTTCATTTCTAGTTGTGGCAGCATGTTAGATGTAACTGTTACAAATGTGCTACAGGTATTAACGAGTCAGTTAATGCCTTAGGTCGGCTTTATAATCTTCCAGTTCACTTGTAAGGTGTGCTACTTGCTTTTTCCAGGAGTTCAGTTGGGCTTTAAAGAGAAAGAAGATTTAAAAACACTTGGTTAGAAAGGGATTACTAGTTGAAAGGTAACAACAACAACAACAACAACAACAAATTAAAATTTGCTACTGCACTTGACTCCTGAAAGCTTCAACCTTCTAGAGGAGTCTAGGGGAAGGAATATCATGCACACTTCATTTCAAGGGCAGCAAGAGAATACAATGTGTATTGATATTTTAAAAAAAGGAATTAAGGAATAAAGCTTGATTAAGAATACACGGTTTTAATAAATGCAATGTTTTGGACTGCAGCACCCTTTTTTTTACTTGTCATGTGCTCCAAAGACATGGTTCGAGTTATTGAGGATAAAATGATATAGAAACGATCTGAAGGAGTCCCGTTTCCAAAAAAACATACCATCACTTAACGTCATTCTCAAGTTGATATATCACTGAATCAATTGCTTGCACCTTCCAAATTTGGTCAATGCCAGTTGGTTAGGAAGAATTAGCCAGGGGATTTGAGCCAGTCAAAAATGGTGAAATATTTTGAATGAATAATAACAACTTTTATTGGATGAGGCAGAGAATGATGTGAAAAATAATGTAAGTTGAGGAAGGTGTTGAGACCCTCTCATGTCCGCACAATTCTTCATATAAACATGCTGATGCCAATAATTGCCATAACAGTAAATAACAACAATTTATCACTACGAAATGGACAACACGCAGTTCTGCAAACAATTAATAATAACTATAACAATTTTTTTTTAGATATTTTAGCGGACCTCCACACGTGTGGGTGGAGCCCATAGCTTAGTAAATCTACCCATCCCAGAAAATTTGGTAATCACGTGACCGTACACCGACCGACCGCCGACCGTCTGTCCGCACCACAGGACAACCAATGTTTACAATGTTCACACTTTCTAACTACTTTGGGAACCCAGGAGAAAACTGATTGCTCATCAATGTTGCGATCAATTGACAGCTGTCAAAACAAGGTATCCGCTGACCAGTATCACCTGACCGTATCGCGGGCTCAGGTGTCGACCCATCGAGATCGAGTACTTTTTTGAAGTTACCAGCTGACAAGTTACTAGTTTTCAAATTATCGCATGCTCAAGTTTATTTTTTTAAAATTTATATGAAATATGTGGTGTTTATGTCACGATGGCCCCACACTATTAAGATTTTGATTCCAAACTAACCATGGACGCGAAAATTCAGCCAGTTATTTCAAAATACAGGCGGGGAAGACCTTTTCTTACCCAGGGCACGCGTTGGTCATGCTCTACGCCCAATTTTTATGCTCTGATTGGTCAAAATTTGACAGATGAGTTTATGCGGAAAATTTATGCAGCATGTTGAAACTTGTTTACTTTGACAGCTGAAGCTGACAGAGTTTTGTGTCAACTTGTGATGTTTTTAACTGTCTCTTTCCACTGGATGTACAAAATGAAATACAGCTGCTATCAAGAGTCTTCTGTTATTCATAGATAGTTTGTTTATTGTTTTTTTTGGTTGAGAGATCCGTCGCTTGTCAAAGTCAGAAATCTGATTTTGGATGGCATCGTTTTCGTTTTTCGCCTTGCTTGATGCCTAAAGAGGATTCAAAATCCTCAAGCGATTCTCGCGTTACTTGGTAGCTTTCAGGAGCTGCATCTCGAATGGTAAGCTTGAGTAATGATTGTATTTGATGTTTGTTTTTTTATATATATAATTTCATGTAGTCGAGCACAGTTTATACAGCAAGTTTATGCACGTTTGTAAGATTTGAGATAATGATCTGACCTAGTATCAGGTTTGATATAAACTTGCAGAACTTTAAAAAGCCTTTAGGTATATTTTCTCACCCCAAATACAAAGAAAACGTTCCGAAGAATATTTAGTTATAAATTTGCCTGTAGAAAGAAAACTTTGAGCGATTTTCTTGCCTCGAGTTCAGCTTTGAGAAAAGCAAACACCGGGAGGCCGGCTTAAAACATAAACTTATTAAGCTTTAAGCTTTAAGACTCAGGAGTTTTAGAAACGCTTTAATACTTGTCTTCGTGAATGAAAATTGTTGTCTCTGTAAATGTTTCACCGAATTATATTTCTTTTCGTGATTGTTAGTAGTCTCTCTTGCGATTTTAATTGCTGTGCTGTTCGTTTTCAGTCGTTCATGAACATCGCTTGCAGGATTTACCTCAAAATTGCGCGCGTATCAAACGTTTTTTAAGATTACACATTGTTATAAAACCCTTAAAAAACTAAACATAATAAATTTTTTATTATGTTGAGGCATAACTCTATTAATGTTCACTGCAAATTTGGCGCTCATTAAAAGTGAGAACTGGCTGGCTGTATGGGTGATTTTGGAAATTTTTTGAACGGTTCCGCTAAAAGCTCACAATAATTGTGATCGTCCTGAATGTTGACTGAGTGCAATTTGTCTTGAAAAATTGTGAAATACTACATTCTATCCGAGGTCTGTATTATAAACAGTACTGTTTCACCTCAGATGTGATGTATAACAAGTGTAAAAGGTTGGTTTACACACCCCCGGATTTGTTGGCAAGATTTTGTAAAGTAAACTTGTCGAAAGCAAAAACTTTGGCCTGATTTGTTTTCCAAGAATTTGTTTTCCAGGTCTAATCTACTGTGATCAAGAGCCATTATGGCTCTTGAATGTGATCGAAGATGATTGCTATTTTTTTTGGTGTTTTATATGGCTATCAACTTGATGTAAGATGTTTCACTCTAAAATCACTTAGCCTTTCCCTCAAAAGTCGCATGAATTTGCCTTTAAGTTAACTGATTTGTGGATTACAAGTTTATTGTTTCATTTAAATAATAAATTTATTAATGGGAGCTTCGCTTTTAGCCCTGGCTAAATCTATATATTAGGCTTTTACAAAATTCAAAACACAAGAAATGTTGAGAGTTTTTTAGCTAGTAGTAAAAGAAAACATTTAAGCGTGCATGATGGTGTATACATGTACTGTCCAATTACTTAGACATGACACGTACTGTCCTATTACACTGTCCTATTAGTGCTAAAATCAGGACAGTTGATAGCCAATCAGATTTGAGAATTTTGTTATAGTTATGATTAATGGGGACATACAATGTTGCTCTAACCTACAGTTGTATAAGGAAATGGACAGAATCATGTAGTGTCTTTTTAATTGAAACACCTGAGGCCATGCACAAAGTGTCCAATTTTTAGATTTGTATGATGTAATGAAATGAGGTTTTTGTACATTTTTAGACATCAGTAAACCCCAAGTGACTTACCAGCCCTTAGACTGTGCTACTGTGCTTGCACATTAAGTAAAGAGAGAATTTTGATTGGAAATAAAGAGGTTTGCGGGGCTTTCTTGTCTTTTAAATTGATCAAGTAGCAAAGGTGAGGCCTTCCAAGGGGTTTTGGCGACAAGAAACATCGCCCTAAATTTGCAAAAAATGTAGTGACAATCTTGTTCCAGAACACCGTCAGCCGACAGAGACTTACAGAAAAAAGCGACAATTTGCGACAGCGACAATCCATTTCTAATTTTGACAAAGCGACAACTTTTTAATTTGTTATTTTGACAGGGACATGACTGACCAGGCCAGCGTGATTCTAAATCTTCTGTTGGTGTTACTATTTCCTGTACAAATTAAGATATTAAATCATTAAACAAACAATTTAAAACTATTTAAATATTAATCAAAATTAGAGGATGCAAAAATTAAGTACGTTTAGCGAACATTTGTATTCTAGCAAAAAAGTGACAGTGGCAATTGCATTGTAGCGAAAAAACGACAGCGACATTTGTCTCTAGCCAAATAGGTGACAGGAGGGTTGGAAAATGAGCGACAAGGCGACATCAGAACCCCCCTTGGAAGGCCTCAAAGGTGGCTCTCCAGTTTAAGACTGATAATATCAGAGAAGGAATACAACATTAAAACCAATTGATCATTGAAATATTCAAATTGAAGGGCAAAAATCAAAATCCTAATGATCCTAAAATCTATTACATTAATCTTTTCAGTTCGAAATTCTAATTGGAAGGAAGGAGGTTAACTTGGGATGACACTTACATTTCAGTCTGTCTCTTTGCACTACCAGCAACTTAGCTTCTGCTTCATTCCTGCCAGCCTCAAATTCCAAATTTCTGATCTGCTGTTCACGGGTCTCAACTCTGTCTTCAAAATATTCTTCACGCTGGGCATACCGCCTGTGTTTGATTTCTAAATTTATGACTCTAATGGTGTCAGAATCTGTCTCTTCACTCAACTTGACGATCTTGGACTCAGCTTTGTTTAATCGTGCCAAAAGCTCACTTAGTTCTGCCTTCATACTGCTATGCCTGACTTTGGCTTCAGCAAGTTTTTCCTCTTTTTCATCGGCACTTTTCTTTGTATCTCTACACTTAATCTCTAGCATGACTAAACCATCACCGACTTCCAATTCCTTTGCTTCAAGGGCCTTCCTTGCCTTCTCACTTTCTTCAGCTTCTTCTTCTTTAGCTATGCGATCTTTGTATTTTTCAGCTGTTTCTTTGTTGAGATTCTCCAACTCCTCTTTCTTGTTTTTTATCTTCTCCTTCAGTGAATCTCTTTCCTCATCTGCCAAGTCTGCTCTTTCCTTTGCAAGTCTAAGGTAGCGTAACAGATTCTTTCGCTTTGTTTCTGCCCGCTCAATATCACAAATGGTTTCTTTAGCCTTTATTTTAAGTACATCCATTTTTAAGGTAAAAACCAAGAAAAATCAACACTTGCAAGTAGTTTATCAGCAAACACACCTGTTTGAAAACAACAGATATTAAATTGGACATGAAATTTACATCAAGAAAAAAGGAGGAACTTCTGGTCATGAAGAAAACTATGCATGCATTTGAAACAAAGAAGGCAAAACTTTCAGAAATAATCACATCAATGCAAACCCCCACCCTGGGCAAATATGGGGCATTGGCCAACAAGCAAAAACCAAACAAGGGGCATACAAATTATGTACCTCGTATTCTGGGGACAGTCTAAACTGGCCAAGCCCCCATCAAATGAGGATAATGCAAGACATACATGTGATGTGGAAAGTGAAAAGAAGAGACATTAATAATTTTGTCTCAATCAGGCAGAAAAACTGTGAATCTCATGAACGTATAAAATCATGTTCTTGTGTAAGTTATATTAAAATAAGTTGGCGACCAAAATTTACGATCTGGCGACCAAAATTTTTCTGTTAGTCGCCAGCTGGCTCCCAAACGAAAAAGTTAATTTCGAGCCCTGCAGGGGTGAAACTTTAATTCCAAATCAAATCAAATCAAATCAATTTTATTTAAGCTCGATAGCGTGAGGAGTGGTTGCCCAATCTCCAGAGCCAGGGGCTCATGTATTAAACGCTCGAGCACTCCGGATCGAATTGGAATTTAGAAAGAGGGGAAAACCGGAGTACCCGGAGAAAAACCTTTCGGAGCAGAGAAGAGAACCAACAACAAACTCAACCCACATATGACGTCGAGTGCGGGAATCGAACCTGGGCCACATAGGTGGAAGGTGAGTGCTCTCACTACTGCGCCATCCCTGCTCCCTCAGGTCTACCTCTGAAGAATTCCCACAAAATTCTTCAGGGGTAGACCCATATTCTTCAGGGGAAAGACCCATATTTTATAGAAGTCTTTAGGGGTTAATGTAATTTCATTAAATTTTGTCTACAAAGGTAAGAAGAAAGGTAAGTCCTCAACCAGAGATACGGATATTAAAATGCAATAGCCTAATAACTACTACTAGTACTAAAAATAAAATGAATGGGCATTCATAACAAATAATTCCAGCACACTCTCTGTCAACCTTCCGTTTGTCTATCACTGAAGAGCATTCAAAGAATAATTTTAAAATGCCAGAAGCTGGCAAGGTAACAAAATANCCTCGTATTCTGGGGACAGTCTAAACTGGCCAAGCCCCCATCAAATGAGGATAATGCAAGACATACATGTGATGTGGAAAGTGAAAAGAAGAGACATTAATAATTTTGTCTCAATCAGGCAGAAAAACTGTCTGTGAATGCAGGTTAATCAAATGGATTGTAAATGGTTACCAAAAGTGTGTAAATGGACTCCATTTCCGTTAAAATGCCTGTTCAAAAGCATTAAATGATAAGGCAGGGTAAAACAAAACAGGTCGACCTTAATGTCTAAGGGGAAAGCTGGAAAGCAGGAAAGTGGGAACCTGAGCATGTTAAGCAGTTGAACAAAATTTTAAAATGATCTTAAATGGACAGCTCAATGTTTTGACAATAATCAGTAGATGGTTTCAAAAGCCCTGCTAGAAACAACAGTTTACAGAGAAATGAACATAAATAATTTTGATCAGCTGTTGTCAAATACTGAAAATTATACATTTCTGATAATTTACATCGGTGTAAATATGTATATACAGGGATCTTTTGAATTGAAATTTAAAGTATCTAGTATAGATTTTTTAATTCAGGAAAAATAATTTACGCCTTTACCCCTAAGCTAATCGACTCTAAATGTACTTTATATACATAAATATACTGCTGTCATGTGAACGTGTGTTTTGACCAGTTGTAGTTTATTTGCTCATTGTATGTTATCTTTTTGTTTATTTGTATAAAACATTTTCTCCTTTGTATCTACTTTATTAAGAACCCTTTACATCTTTCCAATTATTGGCAAGGTATTAGTTTTACTTTTTTTGCCCCCTTTCTCTTTATAATTTTTCTTTTCTCTAAACTTGTTCGTTCTGAGTGCATTTAATATTAATCCCCTGGTTGAGGACCAATGGAATTCTTCAGGGAGAAGTTATAAAAATTGAGGATTTCTTATGTTGTAGAGTAAAATAAATGGAATTCTTCAGGGCAGGGCTCGAAATTGTGACTCACTGGTCGGCAATGAACACTGGCGACTCACGTTTTGCCCGATGACTTAAGAAAACCAAGACACAACTATTGTTTTTAAAACTTTACATTAGGAAATCAATCGGATATGGTAGCTAGTATACAACTCACCCTTCCCTCCCCAGTAAAATAATGTCTGAATATTACAAGATAATCGAAAAAATTGAATGTATTTCGACATGTCGATACTGCGTTGATAATGTTTCAGTGGCTTCTTCCGAAACTGGGATCGCAGGCGCACTTCAACACCATGTGCTTTTCATTTGCCGCGAAAATGGTGGCAGATACAAATCAGTTGAAGGAATTACGCGAGTTTTCACGTGCGGGGAATGAAGATTCAGCCAAAAGGTTAATCCAAACTTTGAATCCTTCATCAGTTGTTGATGTAGGGAAAGTGGGTGGTTAATAAATGGATATAACTATCACTAATAGAAAAAGTACCTGAGTGAATAGTTCTTAACAACGTTTCTTTATACTTTAAGGTAAGGAGATAGCGATTCAATTCCAGCGGTACTTCCATAACTCCCGCAATATTTTAGGTTTTATTTTCCTAAAACGTTCTGTCTAAAATGAAACGAAGACCTAAAAACTGCACTAAGCCTATTTTTGTTTCCTCCCGGTCAAAGACTGGTACGAGCAATGTGGTTCTGTAGAGGCATGGGCCAAGCATGGTGTTGTTTGTCGGCAGGGAAAGGCGTTGAGGAAAGCAAGTTGAAAATAAAGAACGGCATTTCGTAGAAGTAGCAAAGGGCAAATACGCAAGGACCCATGTTTGTCTCAGAACGAAAACCACACACTTAAAACGTTTTATGCTTCGCTTCATTTAAAATGACTATGGAGACAACCATCAACTTCGGACCAGAGACATATCACCTGAGAACAACGGTAGCTTCATAACTAAGTGTTACTCGTGTTGTTTCTAATTGTTTTCGCTCTTCAAGTGTGACTTTACTTGCATGCAAAGTAACGTATAAAATCATGTTCTTGTGTAAGTTATATTAAAATAAGTTGGCGACCAAAATTTACGATCTGGCGACCAAAATTTTTCTGTTAGTCGCCAGCTGGCTCCCAAACGACAAAGTTAATTTCGAGCCCTGCAGGGGTGAAACTTTAATTCCAAATCAAATCAAATCAATTTTATTTAAGCTTGATAGCGTGAGGAGTAGTTGCCCAATCTCCAGAGCCAGGGGCTCATGTATTAAACGCTCGAGCACTCCGGATCGAATTGGAATTTAGAAAGAGGGGAAAACTGGAGTACCCGGAGAAAAACCTTTCGGAGCAGAGAAGAGAACCAACAACAAACTCAACCCACATATGACGTCAAGTCCGGGAATCGAACCCGGGCCACATAGGTGGAAGGTGAGTGCTCTCACCACTGCGCCATCCCTGCTCCCTCGGGTCTACCCCTGAAGAATTCCCACAAAATTCTTCAGGGGTAGACCCATATTCTTCAGGGGAAAGACCCATATTTTATAGAAGTCTTTAGGGGTTAATGTAATTTCATTAAATTTTGTCTACAAAGGTAAGAAGAAAGGTAAGTCCTCAACCAGGGATACGGATATTAAAATGCAATAGCCTAATAACTACTACTAGTACTACAAATAAAATGAATGGGCATTCATAACAAATAATTCCAGCACACTCTCTGTCAACCTTCCGTTTGTCTATCACTGAAGAGCATTCAAAGAATAATTTTAAAATGCCAGAAGCTGGCAAGGTAACAAAATACAGCTTAAAACAATTTCTTCGCCGAAGTGAGCCTGACATGTAGTTCTTACAAGTCCCGAAATGAGACTTGTGCAGGAAATCTGTCAGCTTTGCTAAGTCTACTCTAGCCTTGGGCTGCGAACGCCTTCCACAAAGGGCCCTTAACACTAATATCACTCCTAGACCTGCTCGATCGTTGTGTCTGAGCGACATTTTAATGCAAATTAAAGCACACATCAGACCAGCTTGAGAACACTTTTGAGGTTACTTCTGGTCGATCTTACTTTGTTTCTACTAACTCAACCTTAAGTGAGGCACGGTACGATGGAATTTGAAAAGAACCTCTTCAAAACACTGCAGTTTAGACGGTCTTTCATGTCAGACAAAACAATATGGCGTCGCGCGCACACATCAGAGAATATAATTTCTGCCTTGAATTAGCCTTGAAGACCGACATTTGGAGATCTTGTTAGTTCAACGATACACAAACAACATCACTTACGAATTCTAGACAATAAAGACTAGAAAAAATTACCTGGAGTGAAGGAGCAGCGTCCAAATTCAGACCAATACAAACCACACCTAGCTTTTCCCAATTGCCAGGGCGTGCAATAGAATGCTTTGGACAGGATACGTCATGTATGCTTTCTCAAAGAGTCACATAACAACAAAAAGGCAGGAGGTAACAAAGATATCTGGGGTATAGTCTCATGCTATTTGTGCTATATAGTGGAAGTAACCAGAGAATCAATACTTGTCTTAATGAGTCCAAGAGCAACGCCGCCGGCAGCTTCTGAACTCTTAAAGGTCCAACCATGTTAGCCTGCGTAGAAAGCGAAAGGGGTAGGGGATAGGGGATAGGGAGAAAGGGAAAAAGGGGAGGGGGATTGGGGAGAGTCGAATGACGGTGTCCAACAAGAAAGCTCTTGTGAAAGGTTTGAACCCAGGAGTCATTTCAAAATGTTGAGTTTGATCGTCCGGGTGAACGTAGTCCTGAATAGGACTGTTGTTGTTGACAGTGACTGACGTTTCGACAACCTGTGCGGTGGTCATCTTCAGAGTCAAAGTGAGTTGTATCACGTCAGTTGATGGTATTATACTCTGGTTATTGATCTGATTGG